GCGGATGCGGATGGTAACGTTAGTGTTAATACGTATATAGTTGCTAGTAGATAAATCGCCTTGAACTTTTGCGGTTTCCACATGGCATGCATTATCTCCCTATTTACATTTTTTAATATATAGAAAATTAATAAAAGTTATAAAACATTGAGCCAATTTTTATGTTTATGCAAAAACAATAAAAAATGCTTACACGGTAACGGCGTGACCACCGAATGTGTAGAGAATGTTGGTGGCTCCGGTGAAGTAAAGCACCATTGTGGTTGGACCCGAGTGTTTAACATCATCAGCCTTAAAAAAATTTATTAAAAAGTCGAATCAAATAACAATGACCAGGACTATTTGTCATAAATTAAATGACAAAAAATATAACCACAACAGTATATTACACAAGTTAAAGTTTAAATAAAGATGGACCGTTCCACACCAAATATAGTTATATAAATATGAATTCTTTTGTTATTTAGATAATTTTGCATATATTCCGTTTGGTGTCGATCGCATTGTCTCCATATATTCAAAATTTGAAATTTACCTGGCCGTGAAGGAGAGAAGCAATGGTGAGATACCAAGAAGTGTAAGTAGTCATAGCGAGACCGAGGAATGACCAAATTCTATAGTTATGGAACGAAGGAATAAAAACAGTTGTTGCACAACACGCCCCAAATATGTATGTCCATGTCCTCTTGTCCAATTTGTCATTAATATAATATATATTGCTGCAAAATCATTATCACTTTAATTAAATATATAAACAAATACTTTTACTACTATTAAAAGAAAAAAGTGATGTCTATAATATTTATTAAACTAACCTGGCACAAGCAATGAGTTGAATAACGGATCCAAAGAGAAGAAAAGTGCAATTGAAAATCAATCCAAGGTTCCTCCAATGTTTTCCCAGCAATCCATCCAATACTTCAAACCACTTTTTTATGAAAATAAAATCAAAATTATAACATAACATAACCAAACATTATACTTATAATTAGAGGTATAGGAGAATAATTAAAAAAAAAAAACCTGAATAACGTGGTTACGAAAATCGAATTTTTCTCGTTCTTTACGAGTTCGATATTCAACGTAGAGAACACTAATGAGATAAGCAGTCCAACTTCCCATTAATCCATAGAAAAGTTGAAATAAAATTCCAGACATCATCCCAAGTTGTGAGAATGAGTATGGTAATGTCAACAACACTTGTGCCACCTGTCCGCATTTTTACTACAAATTTAGAGACGACGATACATATATACACACCACACAAAACATCTTATATTGTTATGAAACATAGAGAGTATAAGACTATATACCTGATTTGAAGCACAACTAAACCAAGCATCGTATACAGAACCTCCATGCCAAAATAAATTCGAGAGCTTTGTTTTAGCTGAAGAAGAACTATTATTGTTACTTGTGTTTTCTTCTTCTCTCTCCATTTCTAAGTAATTTCCTGCAATTACTGTCTCTATTTTCTCTGCCGCCATTTTTGTTGTTTTACTTCTTCTTCTTCACCACTCAGTTTCTTTCTTCCACTCTTTAAATAGAGAATTTTGCTTTTTTATTTTTTTTTAATAAACAATTCGAGACTTTTTATTTCTTTATTTTGGTAATGTTTTTTTTCTTCCTATGAGTGCAATAATTGAGTTACGAGTGTCGGGGACGTAGCTTTAGGTATGATTGGTTAGTGACGGAGTTATGTCACCTACTTGTGAGTATTACTTTTTTAGTCGAGCGTGGATTTTTTATTTTAATGGGCTTGATTTGATGGTTGGGCTTATGGGCCATAATATTGAGCACTACACGAGCGGGTAGGCCCACTTTTGAGATTGTTAATTATATTTTGACCCCTAAAATATGCAAGAAAGAGTGTACACTAATTATAAAGTTTTAAATTAAAGAGAGGCTAGCTAATATACAAGTGACGACAATGATGTTTTTTTATAAAGAAAGGATAAAACTACTATTATCATTAACAATTATTTTCAATCATGATGATTGTAACAACTAGATCAATGAATAAAACATATTGCTCCTTTTTCTAGTCCTTTTGGTGTAAGGATAACAGCGAACTAATTTTGTATAATAATGAATAATATTTCTAAAATATTTTTGTTTTGTCCGATTATATTGTGTAACTGTTGATTGGAACTTGAAAATACGTAAAACCATGCCCTTGTCTAACATATTGTAACCATACACATAAAAACGCTCGATTTTTTAAGTAGGAAAGTTTGGTAAAAAATTAGTAAATTGTGATTACTGATTTGTGAGGTTAATCGAGGTCTGGAGATGGATCCAATGGAAATAATGATTGCTAATCAGGTGGGATTAGTGCTAAACATAATTACCACACGTGTCTAGCTGTCTTAGGCTTATTTAATCTCAGTATTTTCCTTTTCTTTATAAAAAAAATCTTCTTTTTAGCCCCTTAACTTTTACAATGGATCGAATTATAATTAATGAGATGGAATCATCATTGTAGATCTTTATAGCTTTTTAACCCGGCCAAAATGGATGGCAGCGGGAAGAAAAACTAATCACAAATTTACATAAATATATAAGTTTCAATCTTTATTTTATTTTTGTTGGTTGGTGATACATACTCCTATTTACAATTATCCATATATAGGCTATTATGGTATCTCTAATCAACTACCAAATTTAAAAGAGATAAATATCGTCCTCAAAAAGAGCAAAAATTCAGATATCATTACCAAGTGATTGTAATTAAATAATTTAAGATCTTGAAATAGGGAATTTGATACAAATGATTTCCATAACGACAACGATTTTGAAACTAATTCGGAATTTAGCTTAATTAGAAAATCTACCTCCAATGGGCCGAAGAATCAGTCATTTGAATTCGAACTCAATGAGCCTAATGACCCACTAATTAGGCCTAATATATTATTAGTTGGATTGACACCCCTAAGGGCTAAGGTAAGAATCATATATATGAAACTAGAATGTTCCTCTCCATATGAGCGACACGTGGCAATTTTTTAAATCGGGTCATAATTGATTCTCTTAATTTAGTCATAATTGTGCGGTATTCGAGTCATTAAACCGATGGCCAAGAGAATCAATGAGCCAGT